AAAAGTTAAATTTTAGGAATAATTTATGAACATAAAAAGATGTGCCATTCCAACAATTCTAGAAAATACTAATTTAAATCATGTAGAGATATTACTATACATTCATTAGATTGGAAAAAGTATAAAACTATGATGTTGGTGAGGATATGGAGCAGGAAAAGAGTTTCACTGCTTTCTGCAGTAGTGAAAAGTTCACACACTCACATGTTCATCAATAGGTAAATAATGATGGTGACATATTTTATATTCCTAATATAAGATATATATATCATATAAATATATGTACTTATACATATTAATATGTATAAAATTTTAAAATAAATGACAGAAATAAAGCAAATTTAGAAACTATATTTATCTGTTAGATTAGCTACATCTGGTTAAAATGAGAGAGCAATCCAAGGACAAGAGCAAAAAGGACAACTTCACTTGCATATAATGATTTTTTATTTTTTTTATTTTTTGAGGTGGAGTCTCGCTTTGTCACCCAGGCTGGAGTGCAGAGGCAAGATCTCGGCTCACTGCAACCTCTGCCACCCAGGTTCAGGTGATTCTCCTGTCTCAGCCTCCCGAGTAGCTGTGACTACAGTTGCGCCATGCCCAGCTAATTTTATTTATTTATTTATTTATTTATTTATTTATTTATTTATTGTATTTTTAGTAGAGATGGGGTTTCACCATGTTGGCCAGGATGGTCTCCACCTCTTGACCTTGTGATCTGCCCACCTCAGCCTCCCAAAGTGCTGGGATTACAGGTGTGTGCCTCCCCGCTCGGGCAATTTTTTTTTTTCTTTTTGAAGACAACACAAATATAGCAAAAACAAAATGTATTAGCTATAGTTATTTATTACATAACTGTATGTACTTTCCTGTTTAAATATTTTATAATTTAAAAACAATTTTAAGAATTATATCAATATTGACCCAGCTGGGCATAGTGGCTCACGCCTGTAATCCCAGCACTTTGAAAGGCCAAGGCAGGTGGATCGCTTGAGGTCAGGAGTTTGAGACCATCCTGGCCAACATAGTGAAACCCCATCTCTACTAAAAATATAAAAAACTAGCTAGGTATGGGGGCAGGCACCTTTAATCCCAGCTACTTGGAGAATCACTTGAATCCCGGAGGTGGAGGTTGTGGTGAGCTGAGAAGGTGCCACTGCACTCCAGACTAGGCAACAGAGTGAGACTCTGTCTCTAAATGAACGAATGAATGAATAAATAAATACATAAATAAATAATCAATTCTATCAATATTGATCTGGAGAAAAAAATCTCAAATTTCTTGCAATTTGTTGGCTAATTTAAGCCATTTTTATACCTCAAGAAGACCAAAGAGTAAAAATCTCTAAAGTATTTCATAACAGAAATAATATTTTGATATATTTAAATATATCTACCTTAATCATCAATATCGTGATAATAGATTATATAAATATTTAAAACGACTTCAATTTTGAAGTGTTTTTACATACAGTAAATTTTAAAGTATTTAGTTCACTATTTACTGCCCATTTGTTTCAGTGTGTTTTTTTTTTCTGTTATACTTGTTTCTGCTCTTTTATCATTTTTACATTAAAAATAGTGTGAGAAGTCTTTTCAGTTAGATTAATCTAAAGTCTTTTTGAGTAAATTTTTCTAAAATTTTAGTTTAAGAAGTTTTTTTCTTGTTGATTTTTCATTCAGAGTATATATTAAAAAGACATTTGCCACATTAAATTGCATTGAACACCCTTTTCAAAGCCATTGCACTCACAGAATGTGTCTATCCTTGAAGACGAATCTGACTGGAGCCATTTGGCTTCCCTAATTGCTCTGCTTTTACGTTTAATCATGAAGAACTCTGTGTACTCAGTGTTGAGAATTAATGATTGCCCTGAAAATGTCAGTCAGCCTAAGTGACTGACAATTTTTTTCTTTGAGAGCTGAGTGTATGACATTAAATACTTGATGAGTAAAATAATAAAAAATCAGAGTAAAGGGATCTTTGTTTTAGAAATTAGGCTATATTGTTCCTCTAGATATAATCTTACTGTAGTTGCAATTATTTACATCACCTTTTCAAAAGGAATGAACTAAATTCTGGTAAAGGAATAAGAGTACTGAACTGGGAAACTGGGATCATTCTATCAAAATCTGCTGCTAATGTGGCTGGAGATTTAAATACCTTCATTTTTAAATTATGAGTGGAAAACTAGATAATTTCAGTTGTCTCATTCAGTCTCTCTCTTTTCTTTCTTCTTACCGCCTTCCTCTCTCCTTCCTCCTTTTCTTTTCTTTCCTTCCTTCCTTCCTTCCTTTTTTCTTTCTTTTCTTTCTTTCTTTCTTTCTTTCTTTCTTTCTTTCTTTCTTTCTTTCTTTCTTTCTTTCTTTCTTTCTTTCTTTCTTTCTTTTCCTTCTTCCTTTCTTTTTGTTTTTCCCTCTTGATGGAGTCTCATTCTTGTCACCGAGGCTGGAGAGCAGTGGCACAGTCTCAGCTCTCTGCAGCCTCCGCCTCCCAGGTTCAACCAGTTCTCTTCCCTCAGTCTCCTGAGTAGCTGGGATTGCAAGCACCTGCCACCATGCCCTGTTAAGTTTTCTATTTTTTTTTTTTTTTTTTTTTTTTTTTTTTTTTTTTTGAGACGGAGTTTTGCTCCTTACCCAGGCTGGAGTGCAATGGCGCGATCTCGGCTCACCGCAACCTCCGCCTCCTGGGCTCAGGCAATTCTCCTGCCTCAGCCTCCTGAGTAGCTGGGGTTACAGGCACGTGCCACCATGCCCAGCTAATTTTTTGCACTTTTAGTAGAGACGGGGTTTCACCATGTTGACCAGGATGGTCTCGATCTCTCGACCTCATGATCCACCTGCCTCGGCCTCCCAAAGTGCTGGGATTACAGGCTTGAGCCACCGCGCCCGGCCTAAGTTTTCTATTTTTAGTAGAGAAGCGATTTCACCATGTTGGCCAGGCCGGTCTCGAACTCCTGATCTCAGGTGATCCGCCCAATTCGGCCTCCCAAAGGGCTAGGATTACAGGTATGCAATTACACTGCATCCGGCCAGTTTTAGGTTTCTTAACCAGAAAGTTGGAACAATTATGAGCAAAATAAGCATAAAAGATACTTTCTGTCCAACCGATGGACCAAGCTAGACATTGTATCTTCAACATTTTCTCTTCATGTACACCATTGACCATTCAGCACTGTACCTGGGAAATATCAGTCAAAACTGAAAATGATAGTCTATTTTCACAGAAATGTTTCTTGTGACTTTCCCTCTTTGTTCCTATTTTCATTGTCTACAAGATGCCATCAGCATCTTTTCCCACAAACTACTGAATTTTTCTCCTAAGAGACCATACTCTTCATCTCTCTGCACCCTATGGATTTCCAGTGTTTCCAAGGTGGCATTCTTAATGAAAAAGCACTGATTTTATAAACTTCAATCTCTTCCTTTGGTTTAGCGGTTAAAGCCTATCCCATATATAGAATTCTGCATCTTTCCCAATCTAGTTTTCTCATTTTTCTAGTATAATCTTTTGCCAATTTTCATCATTCTTCACAGCTTTGGATTCACATCCCTAACTCTGAAGAAGGCAAAAACATCAAATTTAGTTAGATTAATCGTTTATTTTTCCCACTTTATGCTTTTGGCAATGCTGCTCCTGCTGCGTAATATACACTTTCCTCCTTTTTTATCAGGTGAAATTCTACTTATCTATAAGTCTCTGCCCAAATACTAATTGAAAGCTTCCTTGAATACCTTGGAAGAGAAAGTTCTCCCTCCCTCATCTGGAATAATCTCATAGCACTTTTACATAACCCTGTTTTAGGACTTAATACATATATTTAGTTGTTGCTCTTATACTTTCTTTGGTATTAAGTGCTAATTTCTTTCTTTCTTTATCTGCCTATCCATCAAGCATTTATTGAAGACCAGCTATTCATCAGATACTTTGTTAGAATATAAAGGGACAGAGTCCTAAGAACTGATTTTAGTTTTAACAAGTTTATTCTTTATATGGAAATCCAACATTCAAATAAATTTTAATTTACAATATAGGATATTGAGTGCTGTGGTAGGTAGTCGTCTCTGCAGAGAATACTTTGAAAAAAAAAAAAAGGGCATTAAAATCTACTGCATAGGAGGGTAGAAATTAGGTCCAGGGACTTTGGTTGAGGTCGACCATTCATTTATTAACTATTCAGAGTAAAGTATAATTAGTTCTTAATAAATATCATTACATACACTTTATTTCAAGTATTTGGAGGCTTATTCTCTCTAGCGTGTTGGATAAAGGCCACAGGTAGTGAAAATATTTCAGAGATACGAAGAATCGAGTAGGAATGTCGACACCAAGCATTTCCATTCAACGAGATCCCACAGGGAAAATGTCAGTTTTGTGAAGGCAGATACATGAATCACACGCAACTCGATTAATAGAAACACATGATCTTATCCACTGAACTCTCCCATAGACCTGCATGGGCCCAATCAGACAGTAATGAAGTGCAAGCGAGACAGCACTCTGCACTCACATTCCAGGCAATGCTTCAAGCCCCTCCTCCAGGTCCCCCAAGAAGGAAACAGGATGATTTACTTAGTGTATATTTGACTCATTTTCCTGGAAAGTGCAGACTCGGTAAAAAAAATTTAAAAAAAAAACAAAAACGTGTTAGGTGGTGAAAACGCTGATGGTTCACAGTTTTCGTCAAAGCAAACCCTCTGCCTAAAGCCTCACTTGCAGCCTCAATAATACAAAGCCACGCTTTAGTCCGGAGGCGCTGCGTCTTCAGCATGCTTTCCCTGTTGCCAGGTAACCACGTCCCCCTCAGCCTCGTCTCCAGGGGTCACAAGCCACTTCCGCCTCTCAGGCGCTCCAATCAGCGACCGGCGTGCCTGTCACGTGGGCCTCCGGGCCGACCCTGGAGAACCCAGCCAGCTCGCAGCACCTTGCAACGTGGCTCCGCGCTGGGGCTTGCGGAGCCCGCCTCCCCGCGCCTCGGAGCCCGGGGGCCCAGCCGCCCCGCCCCGGGAGTCCGGGGCGAGCAGGCGGGGAGGGAAGGGCGCGTCCACGCGTCGGCAGTTGTCGCCTCGCAGCGGCGCCCTCCTGCTTCAGCACCTCACGCTGTCCGCTGCTGCAGCTGCCTCTTCTTCCAGGTAAGAAGCTGGCGGGGCCGCAGAGATACCCAGGGAAGCTCCGGCTTGAAGAGGGTGACATGCTTGAACTGTCGCGGCGTCGTGTGAGAGGGGGGCTCTGAGCGCCCTGTGATCGCGGACCAGGGCGAGGTGCGTCTTGCAGGGCTTTGCACACCATGGTGCCTAATAAGATAAGTTTCAGAGCCACACACCTGATTATCACAAGGCAAGGCAAGCCGCAAATATTTATGTATCTAAACTACCACTGCGGTATAAACTGTGGACATTTCGAGGGACATTGTTTTATTTTTTAAGGTTAATAAATATTTGCATGTTTAGAGCCTAGATCGCTATTCTCATCACTCCACTGGCCAGGCACTTCTGTGTAGATCATTTATCCCTTTGAAAATGGTCTTATCAGTAGGGTTGTACTAAGAAAGGTTTGAGTAAAAAGGAAATGTGTTCCAGAAAAAAGACAGTATTGGATGTAAGACAGGTATACTGTATTAAGTAGATCATAAAATACAATTTTTGCTGTCCTTCCCTCTCCAAAAAGACTTGTTTTGCATGCAGAGATTAAAAGGAACAATTTAAGGAGACTTTTAAACTATATTAATTAAAAGCAATCGATTTGAATGAAAATTAATGAAACCTTTGACCATGTATCAAAAATAAGTTATTTTGCATATTAATATATACATATACATACTATATATATTTAACAAGGGTTAAAAGAGAGATGATACATTTCTGAATCTTTCATAAATACCCTTTAGATAAAACTAACAAAAAGAAAAACAATTTCATTATAAAAGGGTATGAACGGCCAAAGCTCAACAATGTGAGATTATAATTGCCGTTCTTAGCATTCTAATAACATTTCTGGTTTGTAAAAATTAGAAAATAAATGACAACAAATTTATGAGAATGTATAAATTTGAACTCCACAACAGTTAAAGCATTAGTTGATTTGTAGATTTACGCCCTGCTTGCCTGGAGCTGATGTTGGGCTGGTGGTGATTACAAACTCTATGGAAGAAGCACTCTTATATCCTTTTGAGATTCTGCTGCACTGGCCTAAGAGTTCAAGAAAATTGATCTAGTTTTGTCCAACTGCTTTGAAGGCAGACATCTGACATAGGTGGTCTGAGAACCTTTCTCCTCCTATGATCTAAAATTAAATATATTCATTAAGTGCTTTTGAAAAGTTGTCAATTCACTAATATTTTGGGAAACATCCTTTACTGGATTGGCTGGAGATTAATGTTACAAATGGTAGCTTTAGGTCATTGCATTAAGAGTTCCTGGGATGTTTTAAAGCAATGACCTATTTCAAAGGGCATGCATGGAAAGTAAAGCTCTTAAGTGAGTTCCACAAACTTAATTATGTAAAAATAACTAGTTGAATTTTATGATTTACTTCGTTCTGACTTTCTCTTGTGTTATTAAGAGAACTGCTTAAAGAACTGTGGACATCTGAAGAAGACATTAAATATGCTTACTTGAAAGTTTTAAAATTCTTTATTCTTCTTATTTCTAGTGATAAATAGCGGTGTTCTAATTTTTTTTTTAAGTTACCCATTAGTCCCATAATAATTCCATAGATTAGAAAGCCATCAATTAATTTAGGCCAGAAAAACAAAACTGCCAGTAGAGGGAAGACTAGGGCTAGAGTGCTTTTGTTGTTGTTTTCTGTACACTCTGTCTTGTTTCCTTTAGTCTGGGTATGGAGGGACAGCACCAGTGGCAGTTTTTGAATGACTTGGAGAAGTTTAAGAACAGGTGTTTATTTGTTTGTTTGTTTTACGCTGATGGATACTAGAAGTTCAACATGAATGATTAGGTTGTCGCTACTAATAATATATGTGTAAATTCTCCAGAGTACCTACTTCTGTTGCCTAAGTACTTTAATGAAGACTAAAATGAAATTCTAACAGTTCTGAAGGATTCACATTTTCTTCCTATATTCCAGAATTTCTTTGGAATCTAGTATATTCAAGAAAGATACCACTTCATCAGACTACTGAACTGTAATACTGAATACTTAGAGTTTACCCAGCCATTCCTGATCGTTAGGTATATGCAAGCATCATTGCTGCTTTGACAATTGCTGAGTCATCTCATTTTACATTTTGTATATCTGTTCCATTTAACAGATGGAAATATTAAAATGAAGTCATGTATCTTCCAGAGTGTCTTCAGGAACAGAGATTTCATCGAAAGTATAGTAATTTATAGAAATCATATGAGGATAGAGTAGGTACAGTGGCTCATGCCAGCACTTTGGGAGGCATTGGTGGGCAGATCACCTGAGGTGAGGAATTTGAAACCACCCTGGCCAACACGGTGAAACCCCATCTCTACTAAAAATACAAAAATTAGCTGGGCATGGTGGTGTACGTCTGTAATCTCAGATACTTGGAGACTGAGGCATGAGAATCTCTTGAACCCAGGAGGCGGAGGTTACAGTGAGTCAAGATTGCACCACTGCTCTCCAGCCTGGGTGACAGACCGAGACTTGGTCTTAAAAACAACAACAACAACAAAAAAAGCTATATGAGGACATTGAAAGGAATTTCTTATTAATTTATGTTCCTTTTCTTTTGTAACAGAAACGTATGAAACTCAAGAGTTGGTACATTTTAATATCCAAAACTGTGTTTTATCCTGTTATAATAGCATCGTGATCATTCTTTCACTGTGTATAAGACTATTCCTTGGAGATTTGTGAGCAAGAAATTAGATACAGACACCTGAAGAGAGTTTTAGAAATTCTCCCAAAGAATCTACTCTATAAGAAAACAAAACCTAGAGAAAAACTTTTTTCTTATTTAAATTTACTTAAAATGTTCACAAAGGACTTGCAACTTTGGTAATAAAAATTGATAGAAATACTGTAAAATCATCAGCTTTGTATAGTAAAAGAAAAAAAAAATCCCATTGTGATTCATTAGAAAGATTTGAAAAGTTCCCATGGTTAAAGTATGGGTTGTCACATTAGAAGACAGAGTTCAGATTGTTTTCATCTGATTTCAGTGACTAGACAAATATAATTCCAGTGATGACTAGTCAATCATTTCGAATAGGCTAAATTTTGTAAGGTAAAAAAGAACTTGATATTAGAGCCACAGCTGGCACCTGGCTTCCAGATGCCACATTTTCAGCTACTTGAGCAAAATAATTTTTATATATAATTATAAAAGTCTTACTTTTTATTATGTTAAATGTACTTACAAAGTATAGTTCAGTAAACTGTCTTATAAAATTCTGTAATTCAACATTCCAATTTAAGAAATGTAGCATAGAAACAAGACAGTAATATAAATCTATAATTAAGATAATACAGTAGGTAATCTAACAATGTTATTTGCTATGATAAGGATGATTGATAATTGTCATGTTCAGATAAATCCTAGCAAAAGTATAAGAAATAAATTCTCATGTGTCAGTGAATGTTATAACAGCCAATACTTGTTTTGTAAATTCAAATGCTGTGAGATGGAGAACTCAAGATAGACATCCTTAAACAATTTTTCTTATGCTTAGGTTTCTTGTTTTCTTCTTCCAGATTCTTCACATTTTTTTAGTTGTAGGCATGTACCAGTATCCTAAGCAGACTCATTTACAATGATGTATAATAAGTTCAGTTTCATATCACGCACACAAAAAAATTTCAAATTAGAAAGTAAAAAATAATTTTTATTACACAAAGTACTCATGTTTAAAGTGCTGTTTTAAAAACCCTTCATTATTAAATACAAATAGCTCCACATAGAGTCTCAAAAATTGAATAGTTGGTTAATAAGAAATAGCTAACATTTAATTAAGTTTGATTCTTTAAGATAAGACATTTGGGTGACTTTTAATGAAAAGAATTATGCAATATTTTATTTTTAAGGTAAACAGGTTTGAAGAAGTCATTTTGGAATTTACGATAGCAGGATCCTTAAGACCAGTTATTCTAATACCATTATTTTATTAACGAGGATACTAAACACATAAACATTTGTTCTCAAAATTTTAAGGGGAAAGCTGGCTTAGAACCTCAGGCTCTATGAACACTCAGCTTTGTGCTGCCTCTCTACAGAGCTACAAAATGGATCACCAACGTGATTTTCTCTTGTGTGTATTTTTGTAAGTGACCAAGTCAAAAGTTTAAATAATTAAAGTCTAAATCATTTTCATGTGGTTAAAATAATTGTTGTAGTTAATAAACAATATGCACATGTTTTGGTCTCATCACATAGAAAGTTTAATTAAAATATTAGTTACAAAGTATTTTTCCCGACACATATAATTTATTGGTTTGGTTATTAATACCTGTATAAGATTTGCTGCGAAGTCACTTGTGAGACCTGGTTACCTTAGAAATTTCTTATCCCGACGTGCTCCATGGTACATAAGTAGCCATCACATGTAAAATTAAATGTTAAGAATATTAGAAATGAGATGCTTTTGGAAGTTATATGTGAAGCCTAACTTATGGTTACCCTTAGGTAAAACTGTAAGGTTGAATACCTTTATTTTCTAGGCTTTTTTCCACTTTGGTACTAGATGCTACTTACAGCACTGTTACTCAAAGTTTACCTTAGACTACCTTAGCATCTCGTGGGACCTAACTAGCAATGCATATTTTTAGGCCAGGTCCCTACCAAATCAGAATTTCTGAGGGAGGGACTCAGGAATCTGTGTTTTAACAAGCCTCAAGTGATTCTTATGCAAGGTGGAGTTTGAGAAGTACTGATACAGAGTACTTTATGCCATGCAGGTGAATGGTACATGAACATTACCAGCTCAACAGGTAACCAAGTCTCTCGGCAACCTGGTCGCCTCTTGAGCTAGTAATGTTCATGCACTATTCTACTTCTGAAGCTTTTCTTGGGAATACCATGCACTAATAGATAAATGAACTTATTCCTGAACATATAATAGTTGATATGTTTCATTAACATTTACATATAAATAGTAGCTTTTTGGATATAATGTCTCACCTTAATAATTAATTCATTAGCTCATGTTTA